ATTGTGAGCGCGAAAGTTGCTTGATTGATTCTTTATAGAGACGCGGCTTCCTAATCCACAAAGCTGCTTTAGAAGCTCAGCTTTTTGCCGAGTGCGGTAACAAACTCGCAACAAGTATATTATCGGTTTGCGTTTTTTGCTAAATATGTCACCCGAAAAATATCCCTGGAACATGAGCTTATTTAAACCACTCGTTATTGGATTTCATCATGTTTCTTTCATCTCTTAGAGTGTAACGCGTTTAGGTTTAGTCGCAGAATTGGAAAGACTTGGAAAAACTCAATCAACTACGACCTTTATGTGAGTTCTTAACAGTTTCTTGAAATTGAAAATTGTTGTTTTCTCACGGGATTTTAGGCAATTAGCTGAGGCAGATCCATACCAGTTTGAAAACAAAATCTTCAGAGCAAACTCAGAGTACCTTTCAATCTTAAAATTCACAAATATTCCTACTAATGTAAACCCAGCTTTCGATTTTTGCAGGGAACCTTAAAATTTATTGAAACTTTTTTGTCTAATTTAGAAAACTAAAAATCGCCATTTTTATACGAAAAACTCTTTTCCTACCGATATCCATGCTTTTCCCATTTCCCCGCTCTCCAACGTTTCCACTAAACCATAACAGGTAAATTTTCGACAAGGTGGTATATAAGAAAATGCAAAATTTCGGAAAGTGGCATGTTCCTAGTGTGGACAAAAAATTCATATATTCAACCATGCGTTCATTCATGTAACAATAATTTTTTTCCTGAAGTCGACTTCAAAGGTTTCGCTACAAAATGATCTTAAGACGTTGCTAATCGATTCGAAAGAAAAAAATAGGCACTGCAATACCAAAAAGTTTATTTTTTAGACAACTATTTAAATAAACGAGGTGAAGGAAAACTCAAAAAATTTCACACGTGATAAGCGGTCGATCTTGATGCTGGTTGTGTTAAAATACAAAAAATGCTTTTTTTGTCCAACTGAGAACATGCAGAACTTTCACCAATTTAGCATTGTTTCATTTACCACGATGTATAAAACTTACATTTTTTTATTTATCTGAAGCACTCATCTCTCGAAATATATCGATATCTCATCGAAAAAAAATTGATCTAAATACCAATACCCCACAGAAATCAATTCAGTTTCAGCAATCATAATTGTTCCATATCCAAGATTGATCAAAATTTGGCCGTCGAACGAAAAAACGAAAATTTAAAATTAAAAAAAAAAACGAAATCATTAATTTGCAGTAAATGATACCAGGAGATGAAGAATCGAAAACATTTTGAATTCCAGGGAAAAAATAATAATTTACTAGTTTTTATTAAATCACACATTTTATCGTTCCTGGCCACAATTCTTCAAACGTTGCAAATAAAACCGAGTCACACTTTACATGTGGCTTCACCTACTAAAGTAGCAAAATTTGCAATAAATCGTAACTATTTCGCTTTTTGCTGCAGAATTCGATTTCAACTGAAACCGCATTATTTCCCACATATGGGAAAACCATAAGCTATTTCTACTGGAGGTGAATATCCCACTATGTGATGAATAATTGACAATGCTTTTCACGCTTTCATTAGCGTTTGTGCCAATTATGACTAAAACATTGGGATTTTGCTCAAAATTACATCAATAACTATATAACTGAGTTGCAAATATTGCGGGTAAAAGACAAAAACGGACGAAATTTCGACTAAGTTATGTAGCATTTATTTCTTCTGTATCGAAAAATATATTAATTTTGGAATCAAAATCAGATAATTAATAAATAAAGCCAATTAAAGCTTTTTATACAGTTGCAAAAGTTAGTTATTAAAAACAAATTCCATTGGTCGTCGTGTGAGGGGGCAAAATACTCATTAAACAATACATAACTTGCAGTTTTTCTTCTTCAAAAACCGAGTTATTCATACTAAATAGACAATTATTTAATACTCAGCTAAAATATTCAAAAGTCTGCAAATAATAAATAAGTGCTCTTACTCATTGTCTAACAAATTTTTCTATTTTGAATTATCTTGCAGACTTTTTATTCATCACAACTGCTTCCCTAAACCGATTGTCGACTATACACATATTGGCAGTTATTGTAATCCGAAGAAAATTAATGGTTGGTGATTTTAGGCGTCTTTTCAGTCTTAGCAAATTAGCAAAACTTCAAGTTTTTTATACATATTTGAATTTTTTACGGCATTTTTATGAAAGATGAATGCAAAGTTCAAGAATCGCTTTGTTGGTGCATTTTACATTTTACATTCGAAAAGCTCTTGAACCTACAAACCCGATACTTTTTTATCGCAATTTCTTTCTTCAACCAATTTTATGTAACGTTATATTGATACTCATTTACAGCTATTTGAATCTGGAGAAAATTATTAGTTTATAATTCAGGGCGTGTCTTCAAAATTTCAAGAGTTCTTTATACTTATTTGAATTTTTCTAGGGCCTTTTAATGAATGATTTTTGCAAATTTCTAGAATTGATTTACATCAATTCAATTCATACAATCAATTCAATGAATGGTGCAATTTTCTATCCTACATGCAAATATTTTTTTAACGCTACAAACCATCTGAATAAAAATCGCATACGAAACCATTCATTATCGAAGGAAATGGTGAAACTCATCTAATGCTATTGATATTCACACCTGAACTAGAATTGCGGTCTCAAAATGAAATTCAATGTTCAAATAACAGCCGACGACTAACGAGACTCCTGCGGAGAGAATAATGGTAGAAACTGCAATAATGAGCAGCAGATCTGATGACTTATTACCAAAACTAACACGTTCGCAGATGTAACAATAAATCCCAACTCCCGATCGGAGTTGCGAGGAATATCGAAAATCATTTACGATTATATTGGTGCACTAAAGTGTTTGAACACACTTTATAGCTTTCCATCTACACATCATGCATCAACCTAATAAAGCATCCATTCTTGATGTTATTTGATCAACTGCAGCGGTTCACTTGACCTAAAGCTGGCTCGTAAATCATTTTACTACATCAATTAGCTACAAAATCGTGTTAATGTTGTTGGGCGGACAAGGGTCACGTACAGAGCAGTTGGGAAGACACTAGGCGCCACAATTTCTGCTCATTAACGGATAATTGAAGTCTAGATACTGTATTCTGGATATCTATCTAGAGTGGAGCAATTTCCAGAATAGAAGCAACTGTTAGTGAGTTTTTTGAGGCTCAAATGGAATTAGTAGAGAAAGCCGCAAACGAGTAGCTCTGAAAGATCTGAACTGTGAATTCGCTCTTAGCTGAACTCCTTAACAAACTTACAATTTTTTCTTGAACTTTCGATAAAAATTGTAACTTTCGGCTGCTAAAATCGGATCCCAGTATGTGGCTTTAAAAATAAAACCAGAGCTATTAACAGCTGCAGATTCACATAAACGGATTCAAGTGTGAGAAAGCAGCTAGAAATTAAACGTTGCACTGCTAGATTTATACAAACTTTCAAACTGATTAAATTTTATTTCTGCAAGCGATTTGATTTCTGCTTCAAGCGTTATTTGCTCCAATTATTACTCTGTCAGGTTTTCAAAAATTAAGGATTTTTGAACAATTTAGCGTGCAGTAGCGTGAACAGCTAAATAATGAACATTTTAGAAAAGTTCAGCATGCTCCCAGTTGAACAAATAAACTTTTTTTTGGACTTTAACTGCAAAGGCATAAAGATGGATTTCGTATCTCAAAACATTTTTCCATTTTTTTGCCCATTTATTTTATTTACAAGGTGATAAAAAAATCATTTTTTTTTCTTTTAACTTACGTTTCAGCTTAAGCATGAGCCCCATATTTTGAAAATCAGCCCAAGAGAAAAAAATTTATTACTGCAACAAGACTTCAACAGGAAACATAATTTATTCACGGAAACGTAGGCAAAGTTTATCCGCGTAACATTTCCTGGGCTAGAAGTTTATTTGAAAGAAGACATTCATTTGTGCTAAGGAATTTTTGTCTAAACTAAACATTTGTCTAAAGAAGACATTGAAAGTGTGCTAAGGAACCGACTTCTGAAAATTTCTGAAGTTTACTTGGAGCCTTATTTTATTCAAAATTTATCTCAATTAATGTCTTTTGTTGGATGTGACTTCGTTCATGCGGTTGCTTTTCAACCGCAGTTACTTATTGTGGAAAACAATTTTCTTCACTATCTTTCTATGCTTTATTATATGCTATTGTTTTCTGTAATAATATTTGCTTAAAATGAAGGCAGAACTCGAACAAACGTTTGATTTTTGTCCAACTACAAAAAGAACGAATTACACGAAACACAACTACACGTTGAAAAACGAATTATTTGCAAGACTTGACGAAAAACACATTAAAGTGATAAAAAAACATACTGATGTGGTCATTTGAATCACACAAATCATTCAGTGAATGGCTTTCAAAAAATGCTCATTTATTTAAAAGCTGCAAACATAGAAAAATAAAAAGGATATAAATCAAGAAGGAATAAAGTCAGCAAATCTCTTTTCAGAAAGTTTAGCATCTCCTTTGCAATGCGAGCCATAACGGGGAGTTCGATTAATGGTTCATTAATTTTATCATATCGACCATTTAAAGTCGCTTTCCAAAAAGGCTTTTTGTGGAATTTTACATTTATTCTGGAGCTTCGCGCCTAACAACATAAAACTCCATTAATTTCACAGACAGATTAAAAGCTTTTCCCCGTTCGTATCAAAGAATTTATGATATGATATCGAATAAACGTATATTTATATTGTTGTTGAAAAACAGAAAAAAGCCAATGTAAACCATGCAAAGTGTTGAGTGGTTAAGAGGGACCACCAACGCCTGCTTTCGATTTGAATGCATATTTCGTGCACGTGTTAACCAATTGTTTTTGCGTCAGCAAACTCTTTGCAGTTATTGATTTCTAAAAATTCGACGTATTGAAACCAGTGAAAGTGGCATGTTCCCAGTGAAAGTGGCAGAAGAAACCAAAAAATACAAAAAACTTAAAAGCTTCATTCAACTTACTTTGAGTGTAGAGGAGCTGATCTGAAGGCAGGCAGATGAGGTACTGAGGCTTCGATTGGCTGTCGGAACTGGAAAAGAAAAAAAGTGTTGAAGAATCCCGCAAACTACTTCAACTTTTTTATGCCGAAAGTATTTTGTATGTACAAACATATAAGGAATTGGCACATTTGCAATATTTTTTCTGTGTATTTCTTTCCAAAAATTTCCATATATATTACTTGCCAATGGCTTCGGCATCTACACCTGATCCAAAAGTCACTCCGTGTTATGGAGGAAAAAACTTGTTTGCCTCTATTTATGTTAATCCTCTGTCATTCGACAGTCTCAAATAGTGTTTTTTGTTGTATCGAAGTTGCAAAATTCAAATCGTGAAAAATGGGGAACGCGAAGGAGATCAGCTCTGTGCTGTTGCGTTGTTTACGCCGTGTGGGTTGTTTGTCGGTTTCAACTCCACATTCAAAATAATGGAGTTTTGCGGAAAGTTGAAAACAGGAAATAATTGGATTAGGGCTATTTAAAGTTTAATTACAGCCGTGTAGTTTGCACGTTGGTGGAAAAGAAACAATTTTCTTGCCGCTATTCGAAACTGGTCAGTGAAAGTAACGTGGACTGGGCGATAGAAGTTTTGTTGTAAATAATGTTTATGTGTTGGCTGTATTTCAGTCCATGTTCCCAGGGAGAAATTGTCAGCCAGTTTCAGGTTGGAAGGAGTTGCACGGAAGTTTTTCGAACCCTTGGAGGTTGACGGGTTCGATGTAACTGGAAAACGAGCTGTTGCAGCTAAAACTTCCTTTAGCTGAAATTACCAAAAAAGTTGTATAATTTCATACCATCTAGAAAGCAGATAAGTTTTTAAATAAATTTTCCATTATTTATCCATCAAGCGCGAAATTACCATTAATTACTACTCCAGATAAAACAAACGGAAACAGTCCTTTATACTCTCACTTTCCCAAGGAAAAAACGCCCGAAAAAGTAAAGTGAAATAGACTTAATCCCGTTATCTTCATGCATCTTGTCTCTGAGTCCCTGTAACTGAAAAAAGACTGCCGGGAAAGCGGAGATAAAGTCGGCAAATGGATTTTTTTGTCTGACAGTAAATTGGACGGTTATGGTTGATGAGGCACAAATAAGCTTTATCAGGCCCCGTAGAGCGCTACTATCATATCTTATTGTTTTCGTTTTGTACGAATCCCATTTTTTATTTCTAAGGCTGATTTTCTATGTCAAACAGAAACTTGCAGAATTTGTCTTTAGCTTCTCTTTCCACTTTTTCTTGAAAATTGCAATTAACTCAACTCAAGGGCATTTCACGACTTTAGCAGTTTCGTAAAACAAATATCTATTTATTGCAATTTTCAATATTTGCTTAGACACTGCAGGATTACGCGAATTGAAGACTTTGGCAGCAAAAACATGAAACTCAATTGCCGACCAGCCTTTTGGAACATTTTGGGGCAAATTCCAATTTTTTGTCGATTGCTTTCGAGACTTTTATTGAGAAACATGACATGAATAATGAGAGTAATTCAGAAAGCAAAAGTTAACTTGGCAAGAAGCACGTACCAAATCGAAATAATTTAGGACAACGTTGAATGGGCCTTAATAATCAAATCTACATCCAATAGAGTTCAAGTTTGCGATAAAAAGTTCGAAGAAAAGTAGGCTGGCGAATTATTTCTTGCTCTTTGCATTCGGATTTATGTTGACGAATTTTCCGAGTTTAAATTGGCAATTTTAGGAAAATGTGACACCCACGATTCCGCTTGTGTTTTTTCGGGAAGAATAATTGACGCATACACTCCAGGGATTAGCGACAGACAGAAGGAAACAACTTTTCTTGCTATCGACGATATATGAAAAGTGGTTTTTTAGATTAGAGTGGGCGGCGTTTGAAAGTTTGGGGACTTTGAGGAACGTATATGGGACTGATTTTAAGCATCTTAAAAGTTGAAATCAATTCCAATAAAACGGGCCAAAATACGCGAGTTTCCAAATCCGTGGTGAATTTAAAACTGTTCATTCTGGCAGCTGATTGACTAAGAAATTACATTTTAGCCAATCGGGTAAATTGTAAACAGAAATTTCTGCACAGAATGCTTTAATTTTAGCCATGTAGTCATGAACGAATTTGCATTCCATCACTCAAATTATCTGGTTTGATTTACCTGTAATTTATGAATCAGACGCAAATCAAGTGGTTATATGCAATGGGTGGAATATGATAATGTCAATTTGTGGGAATATTATTAGATTTGCAGCTACTAAAATCCAATCGGCGACTAACGCAGCCTGATAGAACCAAACTTATGGAATAGAGGTTTTCACAGATCCTAATAATAAGAAAAAAACCCGAAACTTTCAATTTGCGAATAAATTGGAAATTTCTGCCGCAAATAAAAAAAATGTTTCACCAAAACATGCCACCTAAATAACTACTGTAACTATTTAAACATTTACATGTATTTTTTTGAAATATAACTACATATATAAAACCTCCCAGAATGTCTCATTAAGAGAGAATTTAGTGTAAACAGCCATATGCGGACGACACTGCAATCGCAACACACGTTCAACCTACGCCAAAAGTGGCAGACAAATTTAGAAACAAACATTACAAAAAGTGTTCTCTAAATGGAGATTAAGCAATGCTTAATGCTGCTGAAAATAATCTCTTTCTATCTAACCAGGAAAATGCAGGCGAGGCTCCAACAACAAATTGCTGTTGGTCAAACTACTGATCCGAAAAGCTATAGAAAATACCTGAAAATAACAATCGACAAAAAATAAAACTATAGAAAAAACATCCTCTATAAAAAGCTACACATTTCAGATCGCTTACACTCAAAGGCAAATATATGAGGAGCAATAGTGCAAGAAAACAATTCAGATGCTTCGGTAATTCACTGCCGGACTATGAAAACATACTTAGAGTCATCACAACCGAGAAAACTAAACAAAACTTACAGAAAACACTGATTACAAAAATGCTCAATGTTGTTTGTTCCTTCAATTATAATTAAAAAACTGTGTCAAATCCAGGCAAGTTGGAAGGATGATTCAAACAACTAGCCAAGTGAGGAAAACAAACCAGAAGATTGATAAGCAAGAGTAAATAAACGCGCCAATGCAGCCCCGCATTCTTACTCTAAACGACTGATTTATTTACCAAGAAAAAAACATATTTTAGCGTATCTTTTAGATGCGTCTAATTCTGAATGCGAAATTCTATTTTTACCTGCAAAATGCGATTATGACCATCCCAAGCCAAATCGCCTTAATGGAAACTTATAATTTATCCACCAGGAGGAGTTTTGCCTTCTACAATTGCCTTGATTTCCTATGGGCCTTTTTCATCTCTTCCCCCCAGTTACATTTTGGGTTTTGGGCATCAAAAAAATCGCCGACTTAAAATAACATGAGGCATTTTGGCGTTGAAAAAATGCCTGCCTTAAATGGCTGAAATAACAGGCGGTTACCACAGGTAAATGGCCCATTTCAATTTCCCTCGAGGTATTAACAGCCAAATTGTTTACATTTGCCCGAAATGCTCGAAAATAACGTACAGATGTACTTGGGGCAGTAAAATACAGGATGGCAGCTGATTTTTCATGCTGCTCCACTCTTAAGCTCTCCATTAGATTGCTGTTTATCATAACGGTGAAAATGGGCCAATTTGCCCCACAAATTTGCCAAATATATGTATAGCAGATTGGGAAGGAGAGTTCTAAATCCCGTATTTTCTTTTCAGGTATTTTTCCTTAGACGATTAAGATAAATCCATTTTAGTGATTAAACACATTATTTAGATGGCCAAATGCATTCTAATAATTTATATGTATTTTGGCGATTCTCATTTAATATACTTGACACAAATTTGCTGTATTGTCGGTCATTAATAATAGTTGGAAATATCTGATCGGCCACATTATTTAATTTCGAATGCTTTATTTGAAAATTCTACTGGTAATGCGATATAATAGATGTAAATTTTCAAAGTCCCATTTCGAATAATTTAGTTTATGGGATTAATTAAATTTTGAACGTTTAATGCAATTATTAATTTTCCGTTGGCGAATAAACGTTTGCTCTATTGGGAATTGTGTAATTTTAATAAAATGCCAATAATTGAACAGGAAGGTTTGCGGCGATTTTTTAAAGCGCTGACACATACGAGTGCTAAATTTCCAGATTGTTAATTTATTGAGACAGTATCTGGTGCATCTGAAACCCATTTTTCTCGGCTAATTTATTTCTGTTTGCATGTGCATTTTCCATATTTATAGCCCCGTCAATAGACCACTTATTTGAGCGCAAAGCGTTCAATTTCCATGATATATGTAGGTGTCAGCGCTAAAAATTTAATTTGCATTTCGCGGCATAGGTTTGAGTGGCAGAAATGACCTGATTTTAACATCTAAAGCACTTAGAAATGAAATTGGAGAAAACCGCAACCAGTAGATAAACAGAACTAGTCAAACATCAAACATGTTTACCTCGATTTCTGTCTCTAATCGAATATGCTGTGTTTTATTTTGGGCCTGCAATCTTGTTTACACCTTCATTATCTTAACTGCTGTATTGAAACAATTATCAGCTTAATCCCTAATTGGCATGTGCAATGTTGCTATGCAATTAGGGGATAAAGAACTAACAGCTTTGCCGATTAAATGGCTGAAACAAATAGAGACAATAGCAATTAAAGCTAGTTACTAGATAATGCTAGTGGAAGGGAAATTAACGATATTTCCTTTAAAGGTTGAGGAGTAAACTAGCAAAAAGCCAGAGTTTTCCAAGATTTATTAAGTTTCAGTGTGTCGAACAAATCTCTTCAATTTGGCTCACAGGTGGTTTGAATTTGGGGATTTATTCATATATTAAGCAATGGAAATGCGTATTTCATATTCTAAACTGAAAAATCGATACGTCTGGATGGTACAATCGGGCAGATATTAAAACAAGACGTAATGCCTTCAGCTAAAGGAAAATTAAGACCTTTTGGCAAGATTATTATAAACATTTCGATTAATGCGGCAAAAAAAGAAATTCATTCAACGAAGAAAAGTAT